CCCCTCTCCCTCACAGAGCTCCCCTCTCCCTCACTGAGCTCCTCTCTCCCTGCAGGCCCAGAGCAGAGCTCCCCTCTCCCTCACAGAGCTCCTCTCTCCCTGCAGGGCTCCTCTCTCCCTCACAGAGCTCCTCTCTCCCTGCAGGCCCAGAGCAGAGCTCCCCTCTCCCTCACTGAGCTCCCCTCTCCCTCACTGAGCTCCCCTCTCCCTCACTGAGCTCCCCTCTCCCTCACTGAGCTCCTCTCTCCCTCACAGAGCTCCTCTCTCCCTGCAGGCCCAGAGCAGGGCTCCAGAAGCACTTGGGCAATGAGGGTTGACTCACACGATGGTGTTTCTCTCTCCAGCCACGTACAGGGAGCAGTTCAAAGCCATCGTGGATAAGATCGCCGTGGTCAAGACAGCGGAGAACGTAAGTACTGCCCAGGAGACCGCCACCCTCTCCTGCTCGGCCCGTACTGTCTGACATACATTTCTGAGAGGGTGCATCGATCTAGCTCTGAGCAGTAAAGAAAGATCTCGGCGACCTGACCTGGGTCGACCATGGTGGCGCAGGAGGTAGACCCTCCTAACTCTCAAACGTTGAGTAAAAACCGAGTCCTCCTCTTACGAGGACCCAGGTGCGGGAACTGGCCGGCAGCGGTTCTGCTCAGCCGGGCCCGCCCCTGATGCGCTGTCTGCCACGCAGGGCGAGAAGCAGCTCGTGCTGAGGAAGAAGTTCGCCCCGCAGGGGCCCAGGCCTGCCGCGAGGGTGCAGTGGGACGGCGGGGAGGCCGCCGCGGGGTCAAGCCCTCAGGCGCAGGCCGGCACGCGGGGCGCAGCGGCGGGGAGCCCCAAGGAGCAGAAGAAAGCTGTCCTGGTCCCCTGGGAAATGGCTCCTGCGATCACTGTTGCGGAGACTCCGGAGCCCTCTCGGCCTGAGGAAAGGGTGAGTGCTTCACACGGCGTAACAGCTCCCAGGGGTGAGGGGGGTGCCGTCTCGGCAGCAGAGGGGCGGGCATCAGGACCTCTATTGACAGCGCTCGTCGGCTCTCCAGAGAGCTGTGTGCCCTCTACCACTTTCACGGTCCGACCACGACTTGCGAAGAAAAAAGAAGTGTTTGTTTTTCGTGTATCACCCCTGGTGCTAAACACCGACTTCCTGCTGCTGCTTAAAATATGTGTTTCTGGCGTTGGGTTTGTGGTAAGTTCAGCTCTTATCTCCTTCTGGGAAGGTCCTCACGCCTCATGTTTCCCATGAGGCTGTGCAGCTGTTGTCCAGTGTTGGTCCTCCACTGACCCATGTGAACAGTGTGTGGCATTGGCATAGACTGTCTGGTGTGGGCTTTGCTCTTTACCTGTAATCTTAGGCTTGTTTCATGATCTAAAGCAACCTGCCTTTGTCTTTAAATATGGTCCCGAAGAGGTTTTGTAAACTATCCTAGAGAAAGGGCTTTCTGGGATATTGAATCCAATGCTGGTGAGATGAAGTGGTTATTCCCCTTCGATAAGAGTCTCAGGTGAATCTGTGATCTTGGACAGAAGTAGCCTGTGCTTTGCAGAGTAGGAAACGTGTGGAGAGAAAGAAAGACAGCTGTTGCTTAGTGTAACAGATATTGTTTCTAACTTTGAACTTGAGCCTTGAGTCAGAAAACCACAAGTCTGGGGTTAACAAATCTATCAGAGCCTCAAATAGCTCTGCCCTCAGCCCTCAGCATCTAGCCATGTCAGTGCAAAATGCAGCAGAGAGGCCGAGATGTGCACAATGCAGGCAAGAACCTGACAAATGTCAAGACATTGGCCCCCAGACAGTTCTGTCAAGTCAGTCAGCAGCAAAACAACATTTTTGTAATGTCTGGGATTTGGAAAGCGGCATCAGTTCAGGTTGCAATAAAATACTTTTCTGCAAACGTTTAGATTATATTTACAGAGAGAAGCACCTCCTCAATTCTAACTCCATGCTAAAACCCTCTGGGCTTACTGTTTCATACCAGGCCTTTCTCAGTCAGTCAGCAGTCAGTCACACTCCTGGGAGTAGTTTCCACAGGGGCTGTGCAGGTCTGGTGATTCGAGTGGGAGACAGGCATGCTGTTTCCACTGGGCTTCTGCTGCCTCCTGCCCACTGCTGGCTCTCATGCCCGGTGTTTCCCCCCCTGCCCAGCCTGCCCCACCCCTGGCCCTGGAGCCGGACGAGCCCCCGGAGGCAGCTCCGCTCCGGAGAATCCCCGAGGATGGGAGAGCGGAGGAGCCCGGCGAGGAGTCGCCGACCCCCAGCCTGCAGGAGGAGGAGCCCGAGCCTGACGCGGTGTCAAAGGTGAGAGGTCACACGGCGCCCGGACGGAGCCGCAGGTCTGGACTCCCTGTGTGTGTCACGGCCGACTCACGGCTGTGCAGTTTGAGATTTTAAAGTAACACGGGAACAATAATATGACCCCAACACAAAACGCACAAAAACACACAATTGCAGCGAAGAATTAAAAGAGGTCAAAAGAACCCTTTTGTAGTTTTCAGATCCTGCTCCTTGTTATAAAGATGCCAGCAGAGTTTTCCCAGCTGGCCTGTTTGAAACTCCCGGGAATACAGAACTCTGCTCCCCAAAAGTGGAAAAGGACAGGAGTCACCCTGACAGGTGTCAGGTTCTCAGATCAGAATTGAGAGGGACGAGCTGTCGGAGTGTGAGTCCTGAGTGGAATCTTACACAAGTCTTAATGTTGGAACCGGTATCAAATTTTGAATCCAGGTGTTTTCTCGCCTCACGGCGACAATAACGCAGTGAAGGGATGTGAAGCAGAGCCCAGCAAAAGGTACAGTCCCTCCTTGCTGCAGTCATGAGCTCCCTTTGATTGCCAAGATGTTGTTCATAATAATTAGCTGGTAGCATTGAGCGCGTGTATATTCAGAACCATTAATAAACCACACCAGTGAAAAACTCCAGTTGGGGAACAACATGGCATCCCTAAAATGACCCTTTCTACCTTTCTACCTGTGCCATCCTGCGCCTTTATTCCCAGAAGTTATCTTCTCCGCTGCGTTTGGCTCCTGGAAGACTTGGGAGTTTCTCTGGAGACACTATTGCATTGACATTGACTCTCCACAAGGTGGCGCAGTAGAAGAAACTTTTATCGGAAGACAAGCAGAGAGCTGAAGAGAACCTGCCAGTGAGAGGAAAAAGGAGGGGACAGGGGGTTCGATTCTTGTATCTCTGTCTTGAAAAAAAATGTCTGCATCTGTTGTATATAGTTTACATCTATAATATTCCTGCCTTCTCCACAACAGCCCAGAATCTAGAGTCTCCGGGATTCATCCAGTGTGTCAGTACAGCTGCACGTTCCCACTCTTCCCAACCACCTGGGCAGGCTGGTGACTGGCCTTGAGGTGCAGCACCCCCTCCTGTCTGGGGGTTTGGAGCTCACAAACCTGTCTGAACCCCCTGCTGCTGGAAACATTCGTCACAAGAGCAGAAGACCTGTATGGTTTTCCAGTTTGCTTCTCAGAAATCACGGGCCGGTGGAAGATGGGCTCCAGGTTCAGTCGGGGTCACGGTGTGAAGCCATTTGGGAACCCCGACATGCACACACTCACACACTGGGGGCAGTGAGATTCAGGCACCGTGCAGAGATGGGGATCTGTCACTGTGGAAATCCGTTGTGTCCACAGTGTGTGTAACTGTACTCTACACAACCGGTAGACTTGTTTCAGACTGTGTCTGACTTGTGAAAATCAGTGACGCCGCAGGAATCAGAAACCTGCCCTTTTTAAACCATCGCTCCTGTCTGGGATCTAACATCCATGTGGGAAGTGGAGGAGGAGGAGGAGGAGGAGGAGGATGGCTTCAGGGAGGTTTTCTGAGCCAGCAGCGGACAGGACAGGCTCTCCTCATGTACAGTGGCAGGCCTGAGTGCAGCCGTGGGAGAGGAGCGGGCGAGCAGAGGGGAGTGGACAGCAACGCACTGCTCCCTTGCCCAAAGTGCAGGAGCTGTAAGTGGTTTCCATCCCTGCTTGAGGTGTGAGCGGGTCATGGCCATTACCGAATCATCACAGCACTGTGCACCTCTGTGTGAGTGCAGCCTCGTTATAGGAGCCAGTAGACGTGGGGGTCACGCGAGGTGCTCGCAGGGCTCGCCCTTGGCCTTGTTCTCTGAGCCCCCGAAGGGAAAAGACGTCTGGGCTTCTCAAATTCCAGGAGGGCCTTTATTACTGGGAGACGGGGAGGGGAGGGTTAAACAGCCCACTATGTACTGTGCGTCTTTACTTGTAATCTTTATGTAGGCAGATCTGGAGCCCTGGAAGAGAGGGCAGAATGAAGTGTAATTGCTCTCCGGGTGAGAAGACCTCAGGGAGGGAGCACTCAGCGTGTTTGTTTTGATATTGGGGCCGAATGTTGCTTTGGAATTTTTGCAGCTCCGCTGTGCTGGCCTTAATGTCGCTGTCCCTCTGCTGTGCGTCATTAATCAAAAGCTTAATGTTGGTGCTTTTGAGAATTGGCCAATTAACATCATAGCTGAACGTGGTCATGTCCTTTCGGGAGCAGCGCTCGTTATTTCTGATGTAATTGTTTTCCCCCGGGGAGCTCGTAACGGTTGTTTTCCTATCCTTCGTATTGAAGAGAGGTTTTGCCGTGCTGGCTGCCTCACAGGGAGGGCAGGGAGCTGACAAGTGTGCTGTGATCCTCGCAGCCTCTGTGCAACACATGACGCATGAACTGGGGGCGGGAGAAACCTGCCTGTGTCCAGACCTTTCAAGGAAGGGGGTTAAGAACACCGAGACGGTGCTGGTTTTGGGTGCACGGACCTGTGACTGCAGGATGGCGATGAGCTGTTTTGCGTTTTGATGAATTGTGGGAGAACCGACAGTCTCAGTTCTGACGGTTTTCACTCTGGCTGTCTTACAGGACTGTGGACAAGTCAGCTAGAAGTGTCAGGCTCCTGAGTGGTGTAGCCTCCAGTGAGCAGCAGCTCTCTGTTTTTTTAGTGCAGGCTAAGTCAGTGGACAGCTATGACTATCACTGCAGTAAGGATGGTCTCTGGAGGTTTGGACATGGTCCTGGCCTAGATGTCATGGGTTCACAGCTGACTGAGTGCTGCCATAAGGAGGTTAGTCAACCAGGATCTTTGAGTAGCCGGTGCTCCTGTCATTGGCTGAGCACCTGCAGGCTTGTAGTGACATCACAGAGAGCCAGCACCGACTCTCCTGTCCGACGCTGTGGAGCTCTGCCTTTGCTTCGTCTGCCCCGAGCGGTGCAGGAATCATTGCGAATCGTAAAGCAGGTGTCAGCTCCAGGTTGGGTGGGCTGGCTCTTGCTCAGTTACCAGAAAAGTACATGTGAAAGTCCCACCCATGTCAGCTGGTACACTGGCACCTCTGTGTTATGCATGATACAGGCGGGCTGGAACTGTCCATGTGTGTCTGGGTAGAATTAGCTGGATAAATATTCCCCCACTCTTGTCTTGGCTAAAACAAGCACATTTAACTTCAGTGTGGTTAACATGAAAGGGCCGAGTGTTTGCTCATGATGTCCCAATCCAGAGCCCGATCTGAGAACAATTAGCAATCAAGTGTTTCTGCAAGTAGAGTTCTATTTGCGGCCCACATTAATCAGAGTGAATGACACTTTAATTGTTTATTTTTTTCAGGAGGGCATGTGGGGGGTGGTTTTAATTGTGTTGACCTTTCCTTGTTAACTGAGCAGTGCTGCATGGGAGTGCAACATGAAAATTAAAAAAAGAAGTGGAAAAGATAACCGGCTGGAGCTGCAGGAGTTCGGTACACAAAACTAGCACCCAGCAAATGATTCAGAAGCCACGATGGTGTAATGTCAGGCTGTCTTAAGTCGAGCACACTGGGCTCTGAGCTCTTCAGCTCTGAGGTTTGTGTGTGTGTCAGTGTCTGGGAGCTGAAGAAACAGTGAAGATGTACAGTGATGGTCTGTTCACACACAAGCTTGCAGACCTGGATGAGTGTGCAGAGAGGGGCTCAGGGGCACAGACAGGGTGCAAAGACGGGCTCACGGGCGCAGAGAGGGACACAGCCAGCAGAAGCGCGAGCCTGCTTGAATGATCCCGTTCAGCCCAGCGCCAGGGCTGAAGGGGAATACGGGATGCTCTTCCTTCGTTCGCTGACCCAACTAACCAGCAGCCACCGCTGTTGTGAAGCCCCCGCGTGTGACAGCAGACCGCGTGCCCCCCAGGTTCCGGCGTCCACAGCTGTTTCTCGCGCTCAGCGCTGGCTAGGTTCCTGCTCCTGTGCTGATCGCCTGGGCGTTGACCCGCGCGGCGGCCCGCTCACACCCCTGTCTGTGCTTCTTTCGCAGTCGGAGTCGGAGCGGGACGACGACGGCTCGGGGAGCGTGGGGTCCCACGGGGTGGCGGTAAGTGTGGGCGCCCTTGTGTCGGCTAGGGCAAAGGCATGCTGGTAGGTGGAATGGCTTCTGGGTATGTTGGCTCTGGCGTGAGTGTGTGTGTGTGCCCGGCCATGAACTGGCGTCCCGCCCAGGGTGTAACCTGCCTTTCCGGGACAGGCTCCAGCTCCCCCGCAACCCTGTACTGGATAAAGCAGTTTGGAGACAGATAATAATAATAATAATAATAATAATAATAATTGCTTACACTTATATATAGAGCTTTTCTGGACACTCCACTCAAAGCGCTTTACACATAATGGG